ATATTATTGTTTTTTATGACAATGTTAAGACTCTGAATTTATTGAAACTTCGTATGATTTGTATTATAGTATGTGCTTCAATAAAGAAGTGTAGGCAAAGATTTCTCGTAGAAATGTTTTTATAATATCAGAAACTGTATATGGAAAAATCAGGAGCCAATGATTTTGATTGGTCAGTTTAATCGTTCATGTTTAAAGTGATAATAAAAGTCGCTTTTCGCTTGTTGATTATTTGTCTTGTTAAAATGTTTCACAACGTACAGTAATTTCTCCCGGAAATGTTCGGAGGCCGGAATTGAAACCGGCAGATCTGAGAATACTAAGTCGCGATTCACGGCTCGTTTTTATAAAAACTCGGGATAGAATGAAGACGATGACTTAACTTTCTTATTTCTAATTTTTTCCCACGATTCGAAGGCGATTCGAAGGCAATTCGGAGGCCACATGACACGATTCGAAGACAATTCGGGGGCCACATGGCACGATTCGAAGACAATTCGAGGACCACGTGGCACGATTCGAAGGCAATTCAGAGGCCACATGACACGATTCGAAGGCAATTCGGAGGCCATATGACACGATTCGAAGGCAATTCTGAGACCACATAACACGATTCGAAGGCAATTCGGAGGCCACATGACACGTTTCGAAAGCAATTTGGATGTCACACGACACTAATCTATGACCTATAACCCAACTATAAAAACGAAATGCAAAACTCGAGTAATCGTGTCTCCTCTCACCAAATTGTCCATTTTTATACACAATCTGAGCGCGAATTAGGAAGAAATTACTACACTAGGTACGTGACCCACGCTTGACCGACCCCGTCGACCCTTAGCATCGACGTAGCAATAAATTGCACAGGCGTAGGACTAGCACAAGAAAATTCAGAGCAACCCGAAATTTAGCACTCCCGGGAGAAATCGCTGTATTTAGAAACTACCTGAATCAAGCATCTCCAATGTATACAGAGTTAATCCAACGAATTGAAATAATTATTCTAGTACACATAAAAAAACTGCGCAAATTCGAAGTGTCAACATATACGATCACGCATAGGTTTCATCGAATATGGAGTCCACACAAAAATGTTCTTAACCCGAGAAAGATAACCTACGTCGCAGAGGCGCCTGCGAAATAAACATATTGCTATCTAATTTTTCATAGAGGTCTAGTGATTTAAGTTTAAAATTACTTAAAATATAAAAAAATATAATATAAATGCATTTTATTTTTACAATAATGCCAAACCTTTAAAATGACTAGATTAACTTAAATAAATATCCATTGTTAGTATAAAATTGACGCCTTAGAAAAGCATGCGCCTCTGAAGCGTATGGTTATCTTTTACGTACGTTGTCATATAGTTATCTTTCTAGGATTAAAAATGTCCACGACAAGAAGCGTCGTCATCCCTCGTTGGAGGCAAGTTACGAAATATTTCATCGTACCCGGTTAACAGTTCCAGAAACCGAAATTGGGAAGAACAAACGTACATAATTCGATAGGATGAGCGTTGTTCTACAACGGGCTTGCCCCCGTCCCCCTCTTTATCCCGGGGAATATAATACAGCAGCGCAACTCCGGCAATAAAACACGGGGAAGTCGGGTGCTCGCGGATGACAGTCGACGGCATCGCGCGCTGTCTTGGTTTTCCGAACAACGGGCGAGGAGTTAGAGAACGTTCAATTTGCCGGCTGGTGAAAGTTGGACAGCGCGGACTTAGGATATAGTCGCGGATTCAATTTTCAACGGGGAAGTTCGCCGTAAAGGTGCATTATGTTGCGCGATTGGCTGCTCGAGAGAATGGAAAGTTCCCCGATAACCGTTTCATTCGGCTTGTTTGCGTGCGGAGAATTTAATCATCGGCAGTTGCGTAAACACAATGCCGCGAGACACGGCACGTGGATGGTTTCGGGGCGGTGCGCGCGCGAAAAAAAGGAGCGGGAAGAGAAAGGGGACGCTCTCGAAGCAGAGACAAGATTCGAGGAGATGCGAAGAAAGGAAGTAGAATCGTAGCGAAGATCGAATAAAATACAATCGGCGCACGATATTGTTAATATCGAAAGACATAGACACCGCGGGGCCCGGTGAACCGAATCATTTTTATTACCCGCGATGCGCCGGGAGTAAACGCGGAATTGATCCAAAGAGATATAGAACGGGATATCGCGTTACGTAGTCGGAGAGGAGATATGCATCGGGTTGCACAGACAGCGGCATTTCGCTTTACGCGCTGCCGCCGGTAATGTACGGACGACTCCCACGTACTGGGTGTCCCACAAAGTCGCCCGGTAAGAGCTCAAGTGCGGCAAAAAATTACTTTGACACGGGCCATCTACTCTCCATTCTGCGGCGAAATAGAAAATAAAGTCGCCGGCGAAAAACGTCGCGTCCCGCCTGTCGTCCGACGAAATAAAGCAAACACCCGGCCGACTGTATCCTCTATGCAAATTAAAATCTCGTATCTCTTTCGCGGCGACGCGAATTAAACAGCGACTCGTCGTACGTTTCCTCCGAGGATTTCGTCTGTTAAACCTTAATTAAAATCTACGACCGCGGCGCGTTAAACGCGTGAAATTAGCTGCCGACTTATTACGGAAAACTCGCGCAGCAATTGCGACGAAAGAATTCTTCTAAAATCGCTGGAGGGGGGAGAGTGGGGCGAAACGGACGTCGACGATTTTCTCAGACAGTGGGATGGTATCTGGAGATGGAATCGATTATTTGCAGCCGATGTTCAGGGAATTAGAACAAGCTTTTGTTGACTGTTTACCCGATTCACCGATTCTCCGATTTTCAGCATCACTGAATTATTTATTAAGTAATTTTTAATTATAAGATTATAAAAAAAGGAAGAAATCAAAAACTATCGTACTAAACTAGCGTATTCTCGACTATTTATTTCACTAACCTTTATATAAACGATATTTGTGTCATTTTTACTTGTTTTTCTTTACACGCTACTACCTTCTTTTTGCACTAAAATCTTTTTCCCATGAATAAACGAATAAATAAATAAATAAATAAAATAAAATTTGTCTACATTAATTGCAAGATGCAACAGTTAAATAGACATTTCTTTCTCGCCTTACTAATTTCATCGAGTTGAAAATAGTGCAATAGTATTCCGAAATTCATCAAATGTTTTCACTGTGTCGCGTTCGATCCGTTAACAATTGTCGCGAACGCAAAAAATCCGCAATCAAAGCGATCACTTTCGGCGGTCGAAACAATTCGCAGGGACGTCTTGCACCGAAATCAAATTCGAATCAAAGCCCATTGTCCCGGCCACCGCAACGCCGCGGCGTTACTTTATGGCCCGCGACCGATTTTACGACCTCGAAATATCGTGTCCGCGACTGTACCTGTACACCTGCGATCCTTCGTCGCACGTATACGTCACACCTTATCGTCGCGCACACGCACGCGATCGTCAATCAGAGCAGCGGCCGGATCGATAGGCTATCAGGAGCGGCAAGCCGGTCGGAAAAGCCGAGTGTCAGGAGGTGGATCGAAATAAAAGGCTGAAGGACCGTGAGGCCGGTCGTTACGGAAATATCGTGGCTTCTCCCATGAGTGACTCCGACCAGGTGGTCCCCCCACCCTTTTCCCCATAGACCGGGCGACACATGCGGATGCCGTACAAAAACGCGGTCGCCACGTGGCGCCGGATAATAATAACGTTACGATACTCCATTTCAGACGTTCGATGGTCCCCCAAAAGCCCCTCCCCCCGCCCTACTCTTTTTTCCTCTCGCTCTCTTTTTCTCCCATTCTCCCTCGCGAGAACGGGCGCGCGCACGTTTCCTTTCCCGCTCGCGCTCGACGAACGCCGGGGAACACCAACTGTCTCCTCGTGGTCTCCTGATCGAAGCGTCCCTTTCGATCGTTTGAAGGGCTGAAACGTGGCGTCGTGGTGTCTCACCCCCGACGCTCGAGTAGCGAGGGTGCTCGATTCGAGGGGACAAACTAACCCGCAACAATCGAGCCTCGGATCGCCAGAATACCTATACGTCACACCGTGAGGAGTCTCTTCGGGGTATTTTCCGAAGCTTCTACCCTTTGTATTTGCACCGAGAAAAATTGTTCTGTGTATTTTTCATATTAAATGAGATCGGATTGCGCAGAAAAATGGACTGTTCGGGAAGAGGAGATACGATTATTCGAGCCTCGCAGATCATTTTTATCATTCTTGACGGTAAAATCGGTAACTATAAAAACACGGCTCGCATAATCGTATCTCCTTTTCTCGAATTGTCCATTTTTCCGTATAATTCGAGCGACAATTGTGGAGAATTTACTGCATCTGGTACAACCGCAGTAATTTCTCCCTAATTCGCGCTCAGATTGCGCACAAAAATGGACAGTTTGGGAAGAGGAGATACGATTATTCGAGCCTCACAGCTCGTTTTTATCATTCTTGACGGTAAAATTGGTAACTATAAAAACAAGGCTCGAATAATCGTATCTCCTCTTCTCCAATTGTCCATTCTTGTATGCAATCTGAGCGACAGTTGTGGAGAATTTACTGCATCTAGTACAAACGCAGTAATTTCTCCCTAATTCGCGCTCAGATTGCGCACCAAAATGGACAGTTTGGGAAGAGCGGGGTACAATTATTCGAGCCGGAACAATTATTAATCGGTAACTACAAAAACGAGATAGAAATTACTGTGATCTAGAACAATCGAATCAGTCATTCAGCCCCATAACGGCACGCAGCGAAACATTTCACAAACTGCCTCCGTACAAGTTCTAATCACCCGTGTGCCCCGCGATCGAGGTTACCGAAAGAAGATCGACGCCACCGTAGACAACTTGAACCTTTAAATCGCTGACCAGTAAATCGGGTATCGCAAAGTGCGCATTAATTCGCCGGGCGTTAATTAAAAGCCCGTTCGAGAGACGTTTGTATTTCGCGATCCAGGCGGTTGCAAGCACGCCGGTTTCGGCTCGGATATTACTTCTATGGTCTTTGTCGCGTGTTGACACAGGTCCTCGGATTCAAGGATACGTATGTGTGGCTGAAGGGCCAGGGACCCGGCCAGGAGAAGCGGGGCGGGTTTCGCTCGCCGAAAGCGTTGAACTCGAGCGCCAAGGTATAATTATTTGTACGTTTAGTCGGGTTCGATTATCTTGATGTGACCGGACTTCCTGCTCCCCGGAAAGATCATTTGGGCGGACCAGCAGAGGACGATCGAGCGACACAAGCGGGGTTACGTGCCGCTGGCCAACCTCGAGTCGGAGAAACCCTTGATAAGGGAGAAGAGACTCGAATTGGATCGATGGTATCAATCGAACGACGTCGAGGACGACCAAGGATTTCAGGACTATTTCGATGCCGAGGACTCCAGGCTGATGTTCAACGACGAGCTGTGGGGCCAGGAATGGTACCTGGTAATGAGTTTGTCGTCTCTTTGGACGTTTCGTGCGACACCGTCGCGGAGAGACACCCATGTCGAAATCGATAACAGGGTGGTGAAGCGTCCAGCCGTTGGCTCGCCGATAAGATAAAGCTGCTTTATCAACCGTTGCAGCAAGACACGAGGTCGAACAAAGCTCTGCCGAAGCTCGACCTGAACGTGCTACCCTTGTATCGACTGGGGGTAACTGGTCGCGGCGTCAGGATCGCTGTCCTGGACGACGGGTTGGAATACACCCACGACGATCTTCGAAACAACTATGTGAGTTTCCCGAATGCCGGCTTTTTAACTACCCCCGTTGGCTCACAGATGCCAGGGGATGCTGTTCCAGGGGTTGGCTATTCACACACCCTGGACAGAATCGATTCTCGCACCGTTCTCTTCTGAATTTCATGATCTAGGATCCGGAAATCAGCTACGACGTCAACGAGGGTGACGATGATCCTCTCCCTCGATACGATTTATCAGGTAGATAGCGACGGTAGATAAGAAAACGTTTTTATTTTTGCATATAGTGATTAGCAGTTGCATATAACGTGAATAAATTTTGAATAAATTTGAGATGCTGTTTCCACGTGTAACTGGTGTTTCGAACAAAAATTATTTGCCGAATTCTGTATTACACGAGATGATGAAAACATTTATAGTTATGTATGTTTACTATTTCAAAAGTCTATTTTTCCCCAACCCTGCATATTTAATTTTTTATAGTTCGCGTCTGATGAGACGCGCGGAATTGTAAACCTTGCGTGAACTTTGTATCTTTATAAAATTCTTCGTGTACCACAAACACGAATGGAAATAACCGTTTCATAATGTTAATTAAATTCACCCCGTAATTGCACTCACCCAGATCCGACCGATTAGTTAAGGAATTAATTTACATTTTCATGAGACCTGCGGTGCACACTTTTGCTCGTCACTGTATACACGAGAGAACAATTGATAATATATATATACGAAGGAGACAAATAGAAATACAGTAAATTCTCCCGAATTTTTTCTCAACTTGTAAACCAGATACGCAGCAATAACCAACAACAATAACCTTACTTCTTCGTACGCGGAACACATTTGTTTAAAACAGCATAACTTTCGATTGGAGGCACTTTTTAAAAGTCGATACACGTTTGAAAACTGAAGCATATATTACTTTACTAGAAAATACAGAAAATACAGTATTAAATTCTCCCTAATTGTCGCTCAGATTGTACACGAAAATGGACAATTTGGGAAGAGGAGGTACGATTGTTCGAGCCTTGCACATCGTTTTTACAATTATTGACAATCGGCAATTTTAAAAAGCAGCCGCGAGACTAGAACAATCGCATCTCCTCCCAAATTGTCCATTTTTGTGCAAGCCGAACGTCAATTAGGGAGAATTTACTGTACAATAAAAGCGAAAGCCGTTCCGAAGGTTGAGATCCGCAACGAAGTTCTCGCACGTTCGATCAAATCCCGACTCTCTTAGGGATGAACGGCCATGGGACGAGGTGTGCCGGGGAAATAGCGATGGAGGCCAACAACCGGAAGTGCGGGGTAGGCGTCGCGTTCGAGGCCTCCGTCGGAGGGATCAAGCTTCTCGACGGTTTGGTGAACGATCGCGTCGAGGGAGAAGCTCTCGGTTACAAACCGGAAGCTGTGGACATTTACACCGCCTCTTGGGGTCCCGCCGACGACGGCAGAAGTTTGGAGGCTCCTGGGAGACTTGCCGAGGAGGCCCTCGAACGTGGAATTGCTCTAGTACGTATTTGCATGCTTGGAACGTCGCGACCGTAACGAAAATGTTTCGCGAACATCTCGCGACCATTTCCATTCGCATGAACAATCCGTTCTACCCCCATGTATCATTCCGTCCACTCTGAAGTTCGTTATATCCAGTTCTGAAATAGAGCGGTGCGCGTAATTCTAGACTCAAAGTAACTTCGACATTATTACCGACGCCTAAATGAAGACTTAATAATATATCATATTTGTATGTTATTTATTACTTCGACCAGAATGCCATCGAGCCACCCCATAGATTGTGCTCCTTTTAACAACTTGAACAGAGAATATAATCACTATATTTCTAATCGGAAATTCGGCGGATTTCTAAATTATTTAATTTCCTCTCTTGCTTTAAGAAATAATCTTATGCGACCACTGGTTAATTACACTGCAACGAGTAGAATAAATCCATTTATCTAATACCTAGCAACATTTCCGTATAGCCCCTGCGTCTGCCAATTAACGAAGGCACTCCTCAATTCGCATAAACGTTAGCCCAGAAATCACGAAACAGCGAAGCTTCGCAATTTCACGAATCGCAACACGGCCGAAAAATTGATCTCGCTCGCTACGAAGCGCCGCGGAAAACATCCCGAGTTGCGAAGAATTAATCTCCGGGCGGCCACAATTTCTATTCATTAGTTCCGGCGAGCTTCTGTCTCGAAAATAGCACTTCGCCGAATTTCCGTGGAACGGTTCCTTCCACGTAAGTCGACGACACGGCTCTCCTGCGCAACCGGCTCTCTCGCCGGGGCGGGCTTAAAATCTCGAGCGTGTTACCGTGAAAGATTAAATATGGATGAAGAATAAATCGCGCGCGCGAGGTCGAGGAGCAGCTCCGGCTGCATATTTATACCGTGGGCGCATATTTGTCCCGGAACGGAGCGCGCCGTTGTTTCGCCGGATGCATCGCGAAAAATATCCAGCCGGAGTTAATATTTACAAACGCCGACGCGATGCGATTACGTTATCGATTTTGCTGTGGACGTACCGTGTCGCAGGGCAGGGGCGGCCGGGGGAGCATTTACGTGTGGGCCTCCGGAAACGGGGGCTCGAAATCGGACGATTGCGGCTGCGACGGATACGTGGGCAGCATTTACACGATCGCCGTCGGATCGGCCAGCCAGGCCGGCAGGTTCCCTTGGTACGGGGAGAGCTGTCCCGCAACCATGGCTACGACTTACAGCAGCGGCGCTTATCACGACCAGATGATAGTGAGTGCCACGGAAATTCGAATGGGACCGAACCATTTCATTAGCGGTGTTACAGCAGAGCCTTGATTGTCCCGTCCTTTAATGTTAGAATTCATTGTTGCTCAAATAGGGCGGTGGAGCCAGTTACTCCGAGGTTGTCAATTACTGTGCCTTTTGTTTATCTTCGAGCATAATTCACTTCGTATTTATCGTGTAATATGTATCAATTTTTTTTGTCATTTGAACTCAATGAATTATTTATTTGTTAATATTGAACATGTGAAAGACGGAAGATCCTGAAACACCACAAAAATTATTTCAATTTTTTGACATTGAATTTGAGAAATTTTCTGTAAAGACTTGAAGAAGAGGATTATTTGCAATAATTTTATGTAATAATCAATCAATTTAACCCGAATTTACTTAATCATAACACTTGCACAAATTTCGTACAAGGATTAAGTAAGTGTCCCATTACGATCAGACTATAATAGATTGGATAAGGCAGTGGAGCCAGTTACTGTGGGGTAACCAACTGCTATACGTGTGTTTTGTTTTCGAGCATAATTAACTTTATATATTTATCGAATAAGATTTACTAAATTCTTTCATTAAAAAATCAGCAAAATAAAAGCATAAAAAAATGCCTATTTATCGAACAATACTAAACTTTTTATCGAAAAATAACCAAATTGAAAGCACACAAAAATTCTATACTCCTTATTCGATAAACATGAAGTTAATTTTGCCCGAAAGCACACCGGAGGCACGGCAAATGGCCGGGAAAATGTATTCAAGAAAAAAATAGAGTGGTTCCACAGGCTGTTTTAATCCGCAGTGAAACTGCCCCGTTAGAAGGGGGGAGGGGGGAGGGGGCAAACGGAACAAGTGAACTGCGGCTAATTTAATGGACTTCTTTTCTATCCTGCCAGGCTACGACGGACCTGAGGAACGCCTGCACGACGAGGCACACCGGTACATCGGCGTCCGCTCCATTAGCCGCCGGGATCCTGGCGCTGGCTCTTCAAGTGAAGTACGAAGTCCTCGAACTGATTCGTTGAATCTCTGTCTCAGGCGAAACTTTTCCCTTATCGTTCGCTTCCGACGGACGCAGCCCGTACAATCGGCGGAGCCCGTGGATTTATCCGCCGCGTCCGCGAATTTCCTCGCGTTACGGTTCATTACCGAGCTTTCAGGACAGTTCCGGGAAAGCCCGGGGAATTTTCTACCGGCGGGAAAAGGAGATAGGAATTTCCTCGGTCCGCTTGTTGCCCGCCGGTCCCTCCTCGTCCGCGGAAACGTCGTAGCCGGAAATACGGCGCGACACAGGAAACGCATTAAAGATAAATCCATCCCCGACGGAATTAGCATAGGGCTTTCTCGGCTGCGAAGAAAAAAGAAAGTTATCGCTCCGCCTCTGTCTCGGTCGAATATATTTCAGACGGTGGTCGTGCGCGCAAGATTGCGAAACTTGAGCGACACCGCGCCGCGCCGCCGTTGCATCGAAGTTGTTCCAAGTTATTAACGGCGCCGAGTTTTGTTGACGCTCCGCCGCGATGTTCGGCCATGATTACGAAACGAGGGTGCCACAGATAGGACCATTTTGGATCTTTGTGGCGACGAACAATTTCATCAACGAAAAAATATTCTTTACGATTCTCTTCCTCGTGGACACAATTATTTATCCGGGTAGCAACGGGAATGTTTTTTCTGGCATTTGTAATAGTCGTTAATGCTTCGATATTTTCTTCTCTGCAAGACGATTCGTCAGTAGAATAATTATTGTAAATAATACAGCGTGTACCATAATTATGTTAACACTCGGAAAGAGGTGATTCCTGAGGTCATTTGAAGTAACTTTTTCCTCAGCGAAAATGCAATCTGCGGCTTTGTTTACGAGTTATTAACGAAAAACACTGACCAATAGCAGAGCGACTTCAGTCGGCGCTCCGCCCTCGCGGCCAATGCCGCGTCGCGCCAGCAGTCTTACGCAGCGGCAGTGGTCGCGAGGGCGGAGTCTCGGCCGCACTCGCTCTCCGATTGGTCAGTGTTTTTCGTCGATAACTCGTAAACGAAGCCACTGATTGCATTTTCGTTAAGGAGAAAGTTACTTCAAATGACCTCAGGAATCACCACTTTCCAGCTGTTAATATAATTATGGGACCCCCTGTAAATTCTTCATACTCTTAGTGTATATTATAAAAATGATAAAATTATAGTCACGTAAGAGTGAGAATCGTCAACATTTTTTATCGCCATCAAGGTAGAAACCTAATCTGAATGTTTCTCTCGAAGCAAGGACCTGACCTGGCGGGACGTGCAGCATCTGATCGTCTGGACCTCGGAGTACAGCCCTCTCAGGTGAGCACGAGACTTTGATAGTTGTTTAATACAATACGTCTTCAATTTCTTCCGCGGAAGCTTCTCTGAGGGAAACCGAAGCATCCCATTACTGCAGAAAGTATCAGTATCGTAATGCAATGGAACATTTCAAAAGAAGCTATTAGGTACAAGAGCGGTATTCATGGACGGCATAAAGTAATGGGAACCGTATCAAAGCATCATTAAATTTGCGTTCTACATGCGATTCGATAAAGTCTTGCACAAAACGGATCCCGGTATGATATCAGTGTTGCGGAATTGGTCCGCGAACGTATTAATTTACATGAGAATTTTACATCTAATTAATTTTAATGGACGATTAATATTCATTAGCAACGGTACGTCAATTAGCATCGCTCATTATGTGCGCGAATATGTTATAATGCACTTATTAAGCTGGCCAGAATATCCAGTTGAAATGGCTGAAAAGTCAAACGTCCGCCATTTTGAAACCGTTTGGAATTTCTCAATGAATTTCGAGTTGTTAGAAAGGGGGCCGCAATTTTACGCTTCACTGTTACGATTACTATTACCATAAGCTAAGCGCATAACGCTTCCAGAAGGTCGGGTTATCAATGAAAGAACAGCGCCCACGAAACGATGCTCGGACCCACGCGAACACCAAACTGCCTTATCTCCGAAATCGATCAAGCCAGCGACACAAATTTGGCATTTCCCGGAGAAATTACTGTACTTCCAAATCCGCTTACTATAATCACCCTAGTCCTCTTACGACGTCAAAGTACTCGCTCAAAATTAACCGCTGTGCCGTGACCTATTCATAAACAAATTTTGATGAAACATAAAACATTCTCTAGAATATTCTCGATGTGGATGCTGCGATTACCACCTCCAATTTCGTGTCACCCAGTTAAATGAAAAGTTAACATGTTAAAGTTAACGTGTAATTAACCTGGAAACTTTTGTAGTAGTAGTAGTAGTAGTAGCGTGTATAGTCCACGAAGTTCCTTCTCATAGTCGACGTTCGTTGCTTTTTATTTTTTTTGGTACTGTAATCGAGTCAAGTGTTTCGTAAATATTAAAGTGAAAATGATGAAAGTTCAGCCACTCGAAAAATATTGAAGCCTCGGCAAGCTCCCCAATTATTCGCAGATTATAGAGTATAATTTTCCAAATTGTTCGCCATTAATTTCATGGTACAAAATGGGTCAGGTAGATTCCATGGCGGAGAACAGGACTAAAATTAAAAATAACAAAATTACATGGAAAGCAATCTATTCGAGAAAATTGAATTTAATTATCAGTCGAGTGTACGTGTACTTGATTAATGATCGATCATTATAGATCAAGATTACGATTGAAAAATACAATAAACACGGG